TTCTGTTGAATACGAGGGTCAATTGATTGAGTGTATTGTGATGTTGTGGTCGAGCACTGTCTATCTGTGTACGAGTTTTCAGTACTAGTTTTTGCCCTGGTGGCTGGTCGCAGTCTAGTGCGCTGTCATCCACGTGACATGGTCAGTGCATAGCCCAAATAGTGCGCTGGTATCTGACAGATTCTCTCTACCATTGTGCCTTTTGGTAGCTTTCCCAGATGCTGATAAATCACAAGTCTTGTTGTAATCTATCAGTTGTCTGGGTGGTGCTTGATTAACAGGTCGGATGGAAAGAATTCCATCCGAGATGTATCTAAATACCTAAATTACAGTGGTGATACCTGGGGCAACAAAGGGTTGCCAGGCAGCCTTCATCAGGTAACCTCCAACATATCTGGTGGGGTTACCAGAATACTCCATGTGGGTCCATGCACTGGATCCACACCATGCTTCTCAAATTTTAGGTCCCCGCCAGCTGTCAGAACACTCAATTGCTAGCCCTTTATACTGCTGGCTTTTTAGGCGGTCAAGATCTGGACGGACGAACCGTCCGGACATACATGCACTTGTTCTTCATCCAGTCAGACTTGTGTGAGGAGCAGGGCTGGTCAGAGTACCATATGGACAGGATGACCACTGCGGGTGAGCCTGTCATAACTCGTGGCACTATGCCACGGCTAGATCACTGTGAAATTTAGGAATGGTCTGTATGGGAAGAGAGATAAGGCATAGCTGATGGATCCCACCTAGGTAAATAGGTAGGAAAGGGACCTCTGACAGCTAACATGTGATCCCAGAGGACGACATCATAACAAGGCTAAGTACGCCACGGTTATGATATCTAACAATCACATGGCAACAGTTGAGAGTCTCTTAGGCCAACTAGCACTAAGTACTAACTTACTGTAGCTGCCGTGGTGGACATATAGAGACAATATAACTGTCACGGCGAGCGTACTGAGGAGCTGGGACATGGCCGGCAGCAAGCAGCTATTACTCTATTGACGAGAATATCAAGACTAGAGAGGAAAGGAAGAGAGAGAGAGATAGGTACAGTGGGAGGTTGCCCCTTTAAGGGGATCCTCTGGTCAGATCCTTCCCCTATTAGGAAGTATCCACTTGTCATGTGGGAAGGTCTGTGCAAGCCGTCACAATAACAGTATTGGTTTCTTTTGAACAACATTAAGCTTTATAATAAATCAACTAAAATACGTACAAGCTTAAAACAAAATGAAAGTAAAAGAAAAACGTTTTAATAAGTTATTAGTTAACGTTTAATGTTTATTTTTACAAAGAATAGTATTTTATTTTAAATTTTAAATTTTAACCAGGTTGTATATAATATAAAATAAAGAATAAAACATATATAAGTGGATATTATTAGTTTTTACGTTTTGAATTAAGAAAATATGGTTTAAATATTAACATAAATATAAGTATGACGGTCCATCCACCTGGTCCTTGGTCAGGTGACGCACCAGGTCACGTGTAGATTAGATAAGGAAGGAACGGGACCACTACTTAAGGTGTGTGCTGCGCACACCACCTTGCTGGCTTCCTTTTCCTTCCTCACGTTGTTATTTTCATAATCAATCCCAGATTGCAACACACCGCCGCAGGCATCGTGACAATAAGGTTTAACTGTTGGATCCATGCGATTCCAGCCTGCAGACCATCTATACCAGGACCCACATGTATGATTAGATAAGAGATTAGATACCGGGCTGCAACGTCACTTAGCCAGACCTTCAGGTTCAGCTAGACCTCCCAATCCAACCATCAGCAACATCATGACCTTGACCCAATACTCGAGTATTATGATTGATCGTTCAAGCCTGTTCCAACATTATTAATAATATTTTCTTACGATAATAAAGTTATATATAGCGCGAAATAAGATTTAACGCTAAATCTACTTTGTCTTATTTAAGAATTACATATAACGTAGGTCACAAGCGAGCGGCAATTACAAGCGAGCGGCAACTTTTCACCAGCCACCCAACCTTTCAATCAAGGCTCCTAATTGATCAACCAACAATAATGGCATTGCGTTATAGCGAATCAGACTTACAGCTTGCTGTCCAAGCTAAGCGACGCGACCCTCATATTACCATTGGCAAGCTTTCTAAGACTTTCTATGTCCCATACAATACCTTGAAGGCTAGAATCGCCGGCCGACCATCACGACGCGATAGCATGCCTAATTCTTTGAAACTTACGGTTTCTGAAGAGAATGCCATTTGTTCCTTCATAATCGACCTGGATGCGCGAGCATTTCCGCCCCGGTACACTTATGTTGAAGATATGGCAAATCAATTGTTGGCGGCGCGCGGGGCTGGACGCGTTGGAAAGAACTGGACGGCGAACTTCATCAAACGTACACCAGGCCTCCGGACGCGTTTTCATCGGAGGATGGACTACGAGAGGGTCTTGAACGAAGATCCGGACGCGTATCGCGCGTGGTTTTGCCAAGTTGCGGCAGCAATCGCGAAACATGGTATCCAAGACGCGGATATTTACAACTTCGACGAGACTGGGTTTATGATGGGCATTATTGGGTCCGGCATGGTCATTACAAGCGCCGAAAGACGTGGTAGGCCTAGACAAGCCCAGCAAGGCAACAGGGAATGGTCTACAGCAATTTCTGCTGTCAATGCTGATGGTTGGGTGGTCCCGCCGTTCATCATTCTACAGGGCAAAACCCACCTCGCGTCATGGTATCGCGACACGACATTACCACGCGATTAGAAGGTGGCCGTGTCCGATAATGGGTGGACTACGAACGAGATTGGGTTGGAATGGATTCGGCATTTTGACAAGTATACCAGACCGCGTATGACTGCCGGTAAACGCCTCCTCATCCTAGATGGTCACGAAAGCCACCATTCCCAGATCTTTGAGAGATATTGCCAGAATAACAGCATTATTACCCTTTGTATGCCTGCCCACTCGTCACACAGGCTCCAGCCTTTAGATGTCAGTTGTTTTAGCCCGCTCAAACGAGCGTACGGTCGCATGATTGAGGATCTTATGCGGTGTCATATAACCCATATTTCGAAGGAGGACTTCCTTGCAGCGTTTTGTGAAGCACACAACGCTGCTATGACGCCAGGGAACATTCGAGCAGGTTTCAGTGCCACTGGGCTTGTTCCTTTTGACCCAGAAAGTGTCATTTTGAAACTGGATGCTGTCGCTGTCGTACGAACACCGTCGCCAGACCCCAATCTGCCACCCACTACTTGGACTTCGAAGACGCCTACCACCATCAACGAAGCGGTCAACCAATCGGTTCATATCCGAAATCGAGTCAGAAACCACCAGGGAAGCTCACCTACATCAATAATTGATGCGTTGAGCTCGTTTTCAAAGGCTACATACGGTCTTATGCACAAGGTTGCTTTGGTTGATTCCCGGGTCCGCGAGCTAGAGGAGGCCAATCACCTACTAAGTAAACGCCGGAGGACAAAAAACAAACGTCTAGTGAAAGGAGGAGTACTTTCTATTGAAGATGCAGTAGGTCTCCAGGCTGTAAAGGATGGTGGTGAGCTGGCAAGACAGGAAATGGGTGAAGGTAGTCGTCGTCCGAGGAGGGCGGCAGCGCGTGAGCGACGTTGTGACGTTTGTGGCAACACTGGCCATAATGCGCGAACTTGTACAATAGAGATAGAAACGTCTGAAGAAGAAGAATCCGATTGATTAGATTGAATTAAATGCGTTGTGGTCGAGTTATTTGACATGTTGGTTAGAAGATTGGTGAAAAGTTGCCGCTCGCTTGTAATTGCCGCTCGCTTGTGACCTACGTTATATTTATTAATACTTAAGAGAGTAAGTCCGTATCTATTTTATTCGATTTATTATAACTAGTAAAAGCTGGCTTATTTTGGTGAGGAAATCGTTGCAAATGGGGGCTAGTTGCAAATGGGGTCCCACACGGTTAGTTGTAATATGTAAAGCCAAGTAAATCTTGCGATTCGTGCGGACCGGACATGTGACCAGGATTTCTGAGAGGGTTCAGACTCGTAAGTGTGATCTGTTAAGCCTTTCTAGTACTGAACGTGCCAAAGAGCTTGCGGTCCCATGCTACTGTGTGACTCGGGTTTCATTATATCCTCAGTCGTTCTCTGCGTTATGAGACCCCAGTGTTTCCAACTTCCCCCCTGCGTACGTCTTGAAAGTCAGATATAACTATAAGGTCAATGCCATAGCCCACACATCGGATCATGCTTCTGCCCGCAAGTAATGGATGGAATAGCCTACATGGTCTCGCAGCATAAATACTTATCCCAGATACAATCCCCTGGGGAGTAAAATGCCGCTTTCCTTGCTCGAAGGGATGTTCATGCTGAGCCTACAAAAGGTACATGGAAGGGCATTACCATAGACTCACGGCGATAACATGGACTGGTATCCTATCCTCGAAGCCCAGCAAGGTAGGCGCCTTGTAACCCAACATACGATAGGGGTCCGAATCTGTCACCCTAGACCTGCTGGCAGCTGAATTTCGTTGGAACTGTCTTGAATACACCATGCGAGTAACCCAGTGGCAGGACTTGGTGGTTATAAAGACTTGCAGAACTCCTAGTTTCTCCGTCACTACGCAGGTTCTCACAAGTGCCTTTCCTACCTGCCAGTACCCCTGAAATGGACTCACTCATGGCGGGTCTATTCGGACAACTTATACCCCGCCTTCTTTCAGCATGGATCATGGCGGCGCCGTGTGGCCTTGGCTCTCATAGAAATAGCCACGAACGCTCCATCGATAATTATGCTCACAACATCGGTGTATGCTGCTTGTCCCGCGTGGTCAAGGAGTACTGACTCAGGGCCTCTGAACGACTGTATATTGATCCCTCTAATGAACGCCTAAACAAAGACTGAAAGTGCATAATCGTCCTACCACCAACACTCGAGGCTAGACTGGTCTTTAACGTCCGCCGACCCCAGGATGAGTGGTCCCAAGCGCGAGATAGTCACGGTAAGAACACCGCAGTCGGACCTTTCTACATACATCTCTGTACGCGCCAATCACCGCCTAACCAACTCTTATTGCCGCAGGCTGTGTACTCACAATCGTGCTCCTTGTTTTTCTTGTAGCAATCCTCGACAGTGTCGCAGTAGTATCTGCCGGCATCGCACACGTCGTGAGTTCGCCTCGTTCGGGCAAGGCTTCGTTCTACCAGCCCTTTGTCAAGAGCCTTGACGTCGCTGTCGGATTTGTTGTCGTCCGTGATGTCGACTAGCCGCTGATGGTCACTCGACGGTGGGTTCCAGGCCTTGAGGGCTTCGGCAACTGACTTGTCCCGCTGTGTCGCATATGTTAGATCTGATGTGCTTGCTAGGTACCGTAGCAACTAGGGGGCTCACAGCTGCTAGAGAACTGCTGCGCTTGTCGTTTGGTGCGGCGACGGCGGCCCATGCCGCCATGAGCATAGCGAGGAAAGAAGTCTTCATATTGGATTGTTTTTGCCAGTCTTTGCGTATCTCTCTGGTTTAGGTCTGACTTGTTGCAAGAGAAATGCCTACTCGGCTGGGAAGTCCGAGGTGCTTCACTTATACACCTGCTTATAAATGTCAGAAACAAGCTGATGCCCAACTTATCGGACAATTGGGTAACGCAAACCGCAATTTATGGATACGTGTTCATCCTGACATTGGGTCAACGGTTCAAGCAGATGAGCCAAAAGCGAAGTTCCAGCTAGCGCTGATAGGAATCGAACCTAAATCAACTTTTGGCCGTGCCTCATCCCACATCGTCATACTCGCACCGCCGTGCTGTGGATTTTTGGAAGGAAGAGGAAGAGGAATAAGGAGGTCAAGGAGGGATAGCCTACCGGCTTCCCCATGAGTACCTGCATGGCCGTGCCAGGGTAGGTACTTAGGACTAAAATCAACAAGTCTTTAGCACGCATTATCTAGTTGCAGTATTTATGCCCAAGATGTTGAACAGCGTGTATTATGTATGGTTCATCTGGTTTGTTTGTTTGTTTGTTTGTTTGTTTGTTTGTTTTGTATTTAACGTGGGGGGTAGCTCCTCAGTAGTGCAGACCACGCCTCCCAGAGCCTCTGCATCGCAGGGTTGTGGAGGTCTCAAGAAAATAAGTACAGTCAGTCCCGCTCACGGGCCCATCCCCGTTGTTGCGGCGGTATGACCTTGGGGTCATCCATCTGGTCCTTCAAGAATAGCTATCTATCGGAGACAGATTGTTGAAAAGAACTTGCTCTTCTCGTTCATCTGGTTGATAACGTGTATTCTGATGATTCTCATTAGAGTGTGTGTTTCTGAAGGATCTACTGTCGTAAGCTGCAGGGCCCGAAATTGCCCTAGAGGCCCTGTTGGTGCACTGCCACTTCCCTGAACGCCACTGTGGCTTGCGTGCCATTTGACACAAGAGAGCTCGGAGATTTCAATAAGATGTCCTACAAAAGAAGAACGAAGGTCGGAACTTATCAAAAAACTTCCAGATATGTCTCCTCGAGATTCGCCTACACCTTCCTAGGACCTGATGGCGGATCATTTAGCTCATCTCATCTCCACCTCACTTTCCCTCATTGAATCACCAATGCTTGGGTGTCCGAGGCAGCGCAATGCCCAGTCCACCACCCAGTCGCCAGTCGCGTCTGGCATAGACTGGCTATATTGTTGTCGAGTCTGAGATCAGATATTACGGGAACTCAGGCCCATTGACATGGAGCATTGGAGATCATTGATAAGTGAGAAGCTGTGCACGCCTCAGAATGCCTCCCTAGTCTCAGGGATTCGACGTCGTCGCAACGTCTCAATTGAAGAGGGACGGGGATGGTCGCAGTCTCAACCGGCCAGAATGTTAACGCTGCTTCTACGTAGTGATGCCGTGGTCTCCTGCGTAAGGGCGTGACGGGGTTGCAAATTGGATGCATCACAGCTGACTGGCGGCATTCAGGCTCACTATCCACGGAGAAGGCAGACGCTGGCACGTCGGACAGACCGGGTTGAGCGTCATGCTATACCAAGCCCCGACGAAGGAGTTTCCACAGACGCGGCAGCGGCGGCGGCGGCGAAAGTAGGGAAGGCGGCAATAAAGACAAGAAGAAGGAGGTGAAGTTCGCCAAGTGGAGGTTGCAGACGGGGTGAGCGATGTCCGTGACTTGGACAGGAGGCTAGCGAAATCACCAAGGGTAACAAGGCGCGTGTCTGATTCGATACTCGTTAACTCTTCAATAACTTACCTAGTTGAAGGACGGCGTCCCTTAAACGGGTACAAAACCGTAACCATTCACTCGATAGTCCATGGGAAGAGAGCAACGAAGCGACCGCACAACGAGACACTCATCTCCATTTCATCGTTTGCCGAGTGAGCTCGGTCTACGAATCGTCGGCCTCGTGTGTTCGGCATCTCGTCTAGACTTCGTGCCCGTGTAGGCGTGTATTGCTCATATGGTGTCTCGCATCGCCACTCATCTGCGCACTCGCTATCGGCGCTGCATCTGAACTTGTCGCGGCATGGCCCTTGCGTAGGTTCGAGCCTGGAGTGAGAGCACGCCAAGATCTGACTCGACATCCTTCGACTTGCCATCACAGTCCGGTCTCTACGAGCAGGGGCAGTTGGCGTGGAACTTCAGCAGTCAGCAGATTGGGGTTCGGGCAGTACCTGAGACCATTGGCTTCCAAGTTGCACGCCATCGCCACGCGTCGTGAGCTACAGGACAGTCGGGTCGGTGTTTTTAGATTGAAGCTGCTTGCCGCCTGTCGTCGTCTGCGAGACGTAAGTTTGCTGAGCGAGTGGGCATCATTGATTGCCGGTCCATGATAGCTACACTGAGCCTCCAAAAGCCTCCTTACACTCCCCGTTCAGCAAGCAGGAAGTGTATTCATTACCAAATCCAAGCTGGTGTTTGTTCCACCAGACGGAATATATAATTTATATCCAGAAATGGATACAGTCTAGAGACGTGCCTGACGGAGGATCATGGGGGTGACTGTTACACCCAGCCCCCCCATAAGTCTCCGTACGCGCCATGTTGGAAGAGTTCCAAATCACACGTGAAAACTTGGAAATGCTGGAATAAGCAGACAGGAATAAGAAGCTTTAATATAATATGCTTCTTTTGGTGCTTATACCAGTGTGCTTATTCGAACTACGATAGATATACCGTTGATTGCCGAGGGCGTGCTTTCAGGTGATTGTACCTCTCACTGGGCCGACGGTGCCTTCTTCCTTCTGGAACAGCACGCCTAGCCCAATCTCCAGAAGCTGATGGTCACTACTTCCGGATCCTCTTTACGGATTGGGACGAGGTCCCAAACGAGGACCGCCAAAACGTTGACTTCCCTCACAACCTTCGCCTGATCGCTGCCCAGTGTGACATCTACCTCAACTCTGGCTACCTCGCTTGTGCAATCCACAGACCGCTCTGCCACGCGTCTCAAGCCTTCTCATTGCATACCTCAACTGGCATCATTTCAATGGCATCACATAGTCACGACAATACGAACGATGGTCCTCGTTACTATGGATCTTCCTCGAACCTCTTCCAAGCCTCCACCAACAGACCAACAATCGTACCAGCTCCACACCCGCCGCAGCTGAATACGGGAGTCCATGGACAGTCAGATATGGGACAGTAGAGCTCCCCTGACATGGGAGCCCACGATTATCCAGGAACACAGCAGATTACCAACACCCACCAATTTCAAGGACCATCAAGCGCCTTCTTGAATCCGACTTATCCACTCTTCGATTATCTGGGTCAGACTGCTTACACGGGTGCATCCCAGGCTGCTCAGCGAGACGGAGCGCAGCCCAGACCGTTTTTCTCTGATACACATAGTACGGCAGCATCGTCCTATACCAATGATGGATCCCTTTATCCCCCCGGTGGCCAGGCTCAGAGTTCCAACATTCATAGTCACATGCCGTCGACTCCGCATACCGCTTATGGGATTGGTCAGGTCCCTTCAGTCCAGAATCAAGGCATGTTGGGCGCTGCTGATGGGCCCCTTTCCAATGCAGACATACAAAACATGCACTTTGATCCAGCAGTAGTCGTACCAGCAATGAGAGATACACTTCGCATTATGTCGGCGCAATCACGGTACGCATGGATGAATCCGCCAGATGACGTCGCCACAACCAACAACGCCAGTGGTCCTCCCACCATTCCCGCTCCTCCGACAACCCCTCGGAGTGCGCCTTATGAGGTCCCTTCGAACCAGAATCAAGACATGTTTGGCGCTATCCATGGACTCCTTTTCGATACAAACATGTGGAGCGTAAATCCTATGCCATCGACCGACTTTCAAGCTCCCATGCTTTTCCACGCTAGAGGCGAATTCTTTTCACCAGGTACACACAACGTCTTCGCAACCAACAACGACAGTGGTCCTCCCTACATTTCTGCTCAGTTCGATGCACTGTCTTACGACCTTCAACCCGGAAGGACTGAGGACACCTTCTGGTGTCCCAATTGCAAAGTGGATCGGGAAAAGAAATATTTCCGAAAGTCCCTTGCCATCCAAACTCGAAATTGTCACAAATTTCTACCAACGTGCGTGTATTGTAGATACACTCGGGACTTCTCGGATGGGAGACCTATTTGCGTCACAACAAATCCAGACAAACCAGGTGCACATAGAGGACATGTTGGGTGCGGAAGGAAGCTTCCCCAGGAGTTTTTCAACTACAAGAGGCTAAAACCAACTTCCAATGTGTGTGAAGACTGCAGGAACAAGAAAAACGTTGCCGGCAGGAAGAGAGGAAACGAACAGAAGCAGAAAAATATACGGGCCCGAGAAGGTGCTTGAACATGAGCACACTTACGTTATAGCAAGCCCATCCAAGCATGGAAATTAATTGATTAGAAGTGCTATAATCACCCCTCCATGTGCGGCATGCCATCTCGATCAACCTTATCTCGTCTCCTTCGAATTCCCACGTGCTGAGTTCAATGTGGATCACTCGCAGGCCGGTCTTGTAGTCGCACGAGCTCCCACACGAGCTCATCATCAGGCAAATTGAAATCAGAAGACTCCAGGTCCTTTCAAACATATGTGTTTTCAAAGGACCTCTATAATTTAGAGAAGAACCCGGGCGAGATGTATCTTACACGTCTTATAGCTTTCTCTTTCGCGGAGACTCGCCATTGAGAACCGGCACTATTATATACCCATCGTGTGCAAACGTCAAAGCCAGCTGGTAAAATGCTGCTTGCTCTGCTTTTCTAGAGAGTAATGATTTCCGCGTATTCTTCTTAAAAAGATGGCGTCTTGGGACAGTGTCCCCCGAGCCGGGAAGAATGGCCCACCCCTATCATCTTCGGCATGTCTAAATGTCGCCAAGAGGTTGACATGGCCTGCTTGTTATTAGCGCGCCCTTCCGGCTGACAGACGCCCGTGCCCCGCAAGCTCCGTGGGTGCCTTCATCCCGGAGGTCCGAGGTCGGGACGACATCGCAGAGATTCCTAAGAAAGTATAAATGAGGCATTGGCCTGGACTATCCACCTAGTCTCACCAACTACCCTCTCTCTAAGTCATTGCTCTCCAGAGTCTAGCATCGATTCGCGATTAAGGTCACTTTCACCAATGCTGCTGAACAGAATCAGGGGCGTTCCGCTCTGGCTGAGCGCATCAGTCATCTCGGCATTCAACGCCATCGTCTTCGGGTGAGTCCCATCACGAACCAAAAAACCCCACGAAGTCAACCACAGTCCACGGCGCATCACTAACGCGACGCAGCCTCGACACAGGAACGATCGGTTCCGTGACCACCATGCCCGCCTTCACCGCCACCTTCGGCGACTTCTCAGCGACGATCCACGGGCTAATCGTGTCGTCGATCCTGCTGCCCGGCGCGCTCACCGCCCTCGTCACGGGCGTGCTCGCCGACCGCTACGGCCGCACGCGCATCATAGCAACGGGCTCGCTAATCTTCGGCCTCGGCGCCGCCCTCGAGACCGCCGCCGTGTCGCTGGGCATGTTCGTCGCGGGCCGCCTGCTCAAGGGCGTCGGCGAGGGCCTCTTCCTCAGCACCGTCTACGTGCACGTGTGCGAGATCTCGCCCGCGCGCGTGCGCGGCGTCATGGCCTCGGTCGTGCAGTTCCTCATCACCTTCGGCCTCGTCGCGGGGTTCTTCATCTGCTACGCCACGTCGTCGCGGTTTTCCGCGTCCGGCTCCTCCGCCGCCTGGCGCTTGCCCATCGCGCTGCAGGCCGCCATCGCCCTGGCCAACGCCGCCGCCTCCTGCTCCTTGCTGCCGCAGAGCCCGCGCTGGTTGCAGGCGCGGGGCCGGCCCGACGAGGCGCGCGGCGTCATCGACCAACTGGGCCTTGACGACGGAGAGAAGGCCGAGCTGCTGGCACAGTCGGCGGCCGCGCTCGCGCACTCGCCCACCGTGCCGTTCCTGCAGAGTCTGCGCGCGACGACGCTGGAGTTCAGGGAGGCTTTCGCGGGACCCTTCCGAAGCCGCACACTGTTCGGTTGCTTTTTGTTGGCGATGCAACAGTTTAGTGGCATCGACGGCGTCCTCTACTATGCGCCGATCCTGCTGCGGCAGGCCGGCATCTCGTCCGGGGACGCCGTGTTTCTGGCGTCCGGCGTCAGCGCGCTGGTCATCATGGTCACGACGATCCCGGCCACGCTGCTGGCCGATGCGTGGGGCCGCAAGACGTCGACGCTGGTCGGCGGGAGCCTGATCTTCACTATCATGCTGATCATGGGTTCGCTCTACGCGGCCGGCGCGGTGCATGCCGATACGGGCGCGGCCCGCTGGGTTGTCGTGGTGTGCATCTACCTGTACGCTGGTGTCTTCAGCGCCACGTGGTCGATTGGCTTCCGGGCCTTCTTGATCGAGAGCTTGCCCCGAAAGACAAGGAGCAGTGCGTCGAGCCTGGCGCAGAGTAGCAACTGGGTGAGTCGAGTTTACGCCGCGATCGTTGGTACTTAACAGATTGCACTGACGATATTTCGCAGATGGCAAACTTCCTCGTGGCGCTTACGACGCCCATATTTATCGCCACGTCTACCTTCGGGATCTATTTTTTCTTTGCTGGCTGCACACTGCTCTGCACGGTAGTGTCCGCGCTCTTCATGTTTGAAACCAAGGGACGCACTTTGGAAAGTATCGAGCAGCGGTATTCAGAGAGCCAGGCGATGAGCACGGGCAGGTGGAAACTGCCCGTCCACAATTTCAGGCTTCGAAGACTCCAGGCAACTTCAGCATAAGAGAGAAGCATACAGCCAGGAGATAGCGCGGGCGCTGTTAGGGGGCAGGAGACTCCGTCGAGAGAGAAACCCATAGTACCCAATATGACGGATCTGTATACCAATTACTTCCATACTTCCCCTGCGACCCGCTTGACAAGCTCAAGTTTCTCCCACATAAGATCCATAGTCATGCCCTTGCCGCCGGACAGACTGCTACTACTAAACCCACACTGCGGACTCAGAGCCAGACAATCCAGCGCCTCCTCCACACTGATCTTCTGAGCCTCGGCGATCACGCCCGCCGCAGCGTAGACCCTCTCCTTCATGAGCCCAACATCCTCCAAGTCGGCCGTCTTCGTCGAGACGAGTCCCAGCACGACATCCTTGCCCTTCGGCAGGAAGCGGAGCGGCTCGAACCCGCCCGCGCGCTCCAGGTCGTCGAACTCCAGGCAGTACGTCTGGTAGTCGGTCTCGTTGAACAGCTTGTGGGCGATCTTCTCGTACGAGCCCTCGACCCAGTGCGTCGAGCCCGACATGTTGCCGCGGCACAGGTGCATGCCGACGTGCAGATCCTCGGGCTTGCCCGCCAGCAGGTGGTTGTGCGTGCGCGTGTACATATCGAGCAAATCATCCGTGTTCGTGCCGTCCGCTCGGCAGCCTTCGAGGAACTGCGAGGAGGCGAAGTACGTCAGGTGCGGGTCGTCGACCTGCAGGTAGCGCAGGCCCGCGTCGTAGAGTGTCTGCAGCTCGGCTGCGTAGCACTTGGCCAAATCATCGAAATACCCCTGATCGGATGTGTAGCCTGACTCTGGGGTCCAGGCCGTGCCCGGCTTCAGCTGGATGTGCTGGTAGTTCGGCGATGGCATGGTGAACTTGGCCTCGCGCCATAGGTCTTCTGGCAGGCTCCCCCGTAGTGCGAGCCATTCGGAGAGGTAGGGTGACTCCTTGTACTGGATCTTACCGGTGCAGATGACGGCTGCTCGCGTCTTTGCTCCCATCTTCGCGAGACCGGTCGTGGTGGGGAAGTCTGTGCGGAACGCATCCGGGATCGGTAGGTCAGGCCGGGCTTCAAACCCGGACAATTTCTCACTATCGTACCGGCGTCAGAGGATTGCGACTCAAAAAGACTTCACGGTTGAAACGTAAACGAGAGGCATGCAGCTTATTGCTCACAAGAAACCACCAAAGTAGATATGCCGAGCATATTCACCATCCGTGATAGGTCTGATGCCCTTCTCTATCTGGAGTCGAACCACATCTCGGATTGCTCGAGTCTCTGCATCTTTGGCCTCCTTCGGGACCTCAAGCGAGTACATCTGAGAGGGCGAGGACAGGCTGGAGCGCGCGTCCAGCAGTGACTGGGGCCGCAGTAGCGACCCGATGTGGTCAATCCTGAAGGGTGGCGACATTGCCGGTTCCGAAGATGAAGCTACCTACGCTTTAGCGGTCGATAAGTTTAATATGAAAATAAATCGTCATCTATGATGGGAGTTAATGGGAATGAGGATGAGGGGGATGAGGGTGAGCTGGGGTTGACCCTCCTTCAAGACCCCCGCATCCCTATTCGGATTTGCCGGTCCCGCTCAAGAACTTGTTCCCACTGTTGTCGGCGATCCCGTCGCGCGTATACCGAATAAGTCTACCCAGTTTATCAAGGCGCGCTTCCAACTTACATCATCGGCCAGGGTGTGCCTATTTTGGTGTAACCCCAGTACATTAGGCAGGACAGCATGGCAATTCGGGCAGAGGAGGTGCCCCTCGTAAGGGTATATGAGAGATACAAAGCTGCCAAAGAGCCAAATTCAACTCAAGAACCAGACCAACAATAAACAGCAACAGTCACATATACTCAGCTTCCACCGTTCCCTTACCTGCTTCAGCCACAACGTTACGAGAAGCCAACGTCCCACCCACAATGAAGTGTACCGCCCGTGCTCTAGCCCTCCTCGTTGCTACCACAGGCGCTGTGGCAGCCCCCGCAGACGGGAATCGAAACGCGTTCGAAACAGAGAGGCCCTCTTGCCTGGTAGGCGTTGGTTGCAAGACGCATGACGAATGCAGAGTGGGTAGCGGAGCGAGTAGCTGCAAGTGCCATCACATAACCGGGCTTTGCGACGACAAGGATGCGGAATCGAAATCTGCCGCGGACTTGGAGGGAAGGGACTTGCCAGTCCGTTCGGTATCGAGTGAATCGTCGTCGTCGTCATCATCGGGGTGGAAGAAGCGTGCCAGCTTCGCCCCCCGAAACCCCTTCTGCCCGATAATGAGGGAGTGCGATTCAAATAACGATTGCCAGAAGGATGGTGCCCACGCTGGCTGCGAGTGTCACTCAGGGTATTGCTTTGACTTGGATTTTGATTAGAAGTCTTCGCGGCATCATGCGCGGGGCGGTCACGCTCGTTTGTGGGTGTTTATACACACGGGTGTTGATAGTGATAAAGGACTAAGGGAACAAGGCATTAAGTCTCACTTCATAAAGCAATGGAGCTTCTCGTCGGTCTTTACGAGTTCAAGATACCAAATGGAATTACCTAGAGATACTTGGTGGTCACTTGAAGATTTAAGGCGATAGTCACTGGCGTCTTGATGAGCTTAGGACGGCGCGATGTAATGAGAATGTATGCTGCCACTCAATCTACCTCCTTAATGACATATGCCCGCCAAAGGTATCCGTCGTCCGCGCCGTCCTCGTCGTTTCTGCCCCCGTCAGTATCCTCGCCACAGACTTCGCAGCCACCATAATCACTTTCATCGGCCTCGATCCTCATTCTCAGCTCGGAACTCCTCCATCTCTTCGATGTCGTCCACCCCGTCGACGTCGTCCAGCTCGTAGTCTTCCGACTCGGAATATCCATCATCCGCATCCGCATCCTCATCCCCATACTCATCGTCATCCCCAAGCTCAACATCCCCCCATCGGATAGTCCCGCAGTTGGCTCCTCGTCCCAGTCAAAATAAGGGCAGCCCCTATCCTTCTCGCTACAAGTGAAATATCGCTCTCCCGCGTGCCTGATGTTGTCCGCGACGCAATCTCTTCGCTCGAGGTAGCCCCCACACTTGGATTCGGAATTGAAGGGACAATCACCCAGCCTCTGCGGGTCGTTGTCTGCCTGGACAACACGTCAGTGGTAGATGGGCTCAATGGGACTCCACCCGAGACATCACAGAACATTTTTCTACAATTTCAAGAACTTGCCACAGCACACACTCCTGGAGTGACCGTCAAGTGGATTCCTGGACACAGAGGTATTAATGGCAATAAAGCTACTAATACACTAACAAAAGAAGGTGCTATGCTAGAAATAGACACAATAAACCTTCTTACAATCTCTTGGGTCAAGAGAGATCTCAAAAAAAAGGGCAAAAAAGAGTTCAATTAATAATAAAAAGACCAATCAGAACCTAAATATCAAGAAATATACTCATATACAGTAACTAAAAGAGACCTTATATCTTTTAAGAGGAGTACTTTATACAGACTTCTAGCGGCCAGATCTGGACATGGCGACTTTGCCAGATACCATGAACTCTTTGGGCATACAGACTCGAATGATCATTACAGCTGTGGTGAGAAGAAAATACCACAACACATTTTCTTTTGTAAGAGGCTGGGGAAAAACCGGTTACTGCCTAGGTACTCGCCTAGGACAGCTTGTTTACAATACTTAGGGGAGAGGAGCACAGAATGGGCAAAATTCGTAAAGAAGAGCAAGTTCTTTTCAACAATCTGCCCCCGATAGATAGCTTTTCTTGAAGGACCAGATGGATGACCCCAAGGTCATACCGCCGCAACAACGGGGATGGGCCCGTGAGCGGGACTGACTGTACTTATTATCTTGAGACCTCCACAACCCTGCAATACAGAGGCTCTGGGAGGCGTGGTTTGCACTACTGAGGAGCTACCCCCCACGTTAAATACAATCAATCAATCAATCATCAATCTCTGCGGGTCGTCTTCCTGCCAATACAAGAACTGGCCGCAGTTTTCTTCCTGATTGTCGCAGCTGTAGTAGGCCGTGCCGGCGTTGCCTTTAGTGTTCCATTGCGAGACTATCTTGCGCGACACTTTGTATCGACGGCGGCCTGCTCTTTGGCAGTGCTTGCATTCTCCGCGAGCCCCGGGTGTGCCTTGTGACAGCAATTGAATGGAGTCGGAGTCGTAAACGTTTTGCGGGGTCGTCATAGTGGGTATTTTGGCTGCTGTCTCGATGAACGTTGCGTAATGTTGGAAGAGTTGAATCAGGTGAGTTCATGGCTCTGCTTTTTGTTGTATTTCAGGGTATTTGGGTTTGGCTCTTCCTCGCGATCGAAGAGCTTAATAATACATGAATCGAGTTGGTAGTTTATACTCGAAGGTCCGGCATTATCGCAATAAAAGAGGAAGTCAAGACTGTTGCTGCTTTTAGGGTAACATACAGGAACATGATAAAGGGGCATAGAAGAGGAAGATAGCAGAGGAAAATAGAAGGCAAAAGAACGGGAAAGAGGGAGCAATACCGCTCAGTTAGATGTGCAGGGTTGCTACGTCAACCGCCAGGGAGCAAGTGTCGGGGACGTAAAAGAGACGGGCGCCTTCGAAACCAGTAAGGGCCTGTTCAAGACGCGATATGCATGAGAAAAGAAATTCTTTAAATGTACCTGAAAGGGTATCCCCAGCCTCGACAAAGATCCGGCCATTGGACGTCCGGACAATATTAAAATCGACATAATTTAAATAATGGCTTGCATATTACCTTGAAAGCTTTAAAAAGCACGCAAACTCGTCATTGCAGCCCTTTAACGCGGCACGCTTTATCACAGGACATAAGGGGCTATAGCCGAAATGAGGGGTAACGGTGTATATAAGGGGGTCTCATCCCCTTTAAGGGGTTGAGGATCAGGTTTTAACTGTATATCATGGTCTCTTTTAAAATGGAAGCCCCTGTCACGCTGCTATTCTTATTTTGTTTGACACGCTTATAGTTAACGAAGCCAAAAACATTAGAGGCTAGGTTCTCTTCCAACTGGGTGGAAAGAGAGACGACAAAATTGTACATTTTTCAACACCACAAAGACAGCGTAAGCTCTGCATTCCGTCCGTTCTGCCTGCAAAGAAGATCCTGCGCTGACTAGCAGCGCCTCACTGGTATTTCGAGAGTCTTACGCTATGATCCGCCTTTGTCGTCACGACGTCAAGGCTTCCATATCGTATGAGCGAGGAGTTTCACGTCTTCCCGCTCTCTTTTATCAAGCCCTTCCAGGATTGTGTCCCCACTGTCACTGCTGTGCCATATTCTCCAATGATTCCCGTGAAGGTTGATGATTGTTGTTGTTGTTGTTGTTGTTGTAGCATTTAATGCCGGGGGGACTGCCGCGTAGCGGCGTCAACCAGGGGCTCCAAGAGGCCGCTCAGGCGTGCTAGGCTAAGTCTTCTATGTATATACACTGCCCATCTAGCAGGTCAAGTCCATAAACAGCCACCACACTTAAGCAGCGGATCACACCGTGTCCCCCTCCTCCGGGTGAGGGGAAGTATCGGCTGGGGTCCCAAATGTTCAGTTTTCAGTGCGTAATGCCAGGTTTAGGGCTCTTAGAGCTTACAGTAGGTACCGTGGCATGCTGCAGTGGTTCTTACGTGCCCTGTGAGACGTTAAAAAGGAAAGATAAAAAGATAAAGCCTGTGACGGCCTGCACAGACCTTCCCACATGACAAGTGGATACTTCCTAATAGGGGAAGGATCTGACCAGAGGATCCCCTTAAAGGGGCAACCTCCCGCTGTACCTATCTCTCTCTCTCTTTCTTTCCTCTCTAGTCTTGATATTCTCGTCAATAGAGTAATAGCTGCTTGCTGCAGGCCATGTCCCAGCTCCCTAGTATGCTCGCCGTGACAAAGCCCCCAGACGCCATAACAGAAGAAAAGAGTGAGTATGCCCTTAGCGAGGAGGGCAGATGTTGCCATAGAAGTCAGTAGCTACGAGTAGGTCCATGTACTCCCGTGGGATAGTCATGAGTTCGTTTAGATACTCGAGCCTGGCTCCGAGCTCCGGCCGGGATGCCGGGGCCCTCGGCCAGACCATATACTGTGCCGAAGTCTTCCGGCAATGGATGAAGTGTGTCGGAGTCTTGCTCCGGCCGCACGAGCAGTCGAGGACAGCATCCTGATATTTGAACTTGACATGATATTAAGAGAAGTCGCCATGCCCTGAGCAGACAGCGAGAAAACAGTATAATAATGGTCTATTAAGTACCTACAGCTCCTTATAATAGCGCAGTTTGTACTTCAGGTCCTAGTATTTATAGCAGGCCGACAGCTTGGTCTGGGCCTTGGTCCACTATATGTCGCGCGAGACTTTGAGCTTGAATCTCGCCTCTGTTTTGATACCGTATGCCATTGGTGTACAATCGGAATCAACATTAGAAAGCTTAGAG